AGGGATTTGGTTGATGGGATTGCATCATTGCACTTACATGAATTGTTGTGGCTATCGTTTTATATTATTTGTGAACTGCCCCACTTGACACCTCACGAGCACCTATTTAGTAGTACCTACTATTGGAAAGGTTGGTTACTGAGACTTTGTCTCACCCCGTGGTTTACCATGTTTTCAGGTGAAGGTTCCGGGCGTGGGCCATCGGGAAGAGACGCAGAGGCTTGAGCTTGGTTAGCTTTAGGCCTCTAGCATTTGTACATGTATGACTAGTATATATTGCCACAGTTAGGACTACTTTTTGATATATTTGAGCACCCGGCCTTGTTGTAAACTGGAGAGAATGTATCTCCTTATTTTGGTTGGCCGGAGGCCATTGCTAATGTTTTATGAACTCTGGATTATTTGGTTGGGAATCATTTAGAGGGGCTGATGTGATGTTTGTTATTACCCGGGCCGGAGGCTCGGAGGCCCAGTAGATGTAAATGAATGATTTCAGTTGCATGCAACGGTTTAAATGTGAATTCAAAATTATGCAAATTTCTTCCTACTATGGTAGTTCATTTAACAGATTTTCCTTTTCTACCATAGTAGTGACTTTGTGATGAGTTCTAACGTTTTTAAGGTAAAGGGTTTTACATAAAAGATCTCGTAAGGAATTCATGCAGCTTCTACACATGCTATCTAAAATAAAAATTCCTTTGATACTCCTCTGGTCCTTAATATAAGACTCATTTAACTAATTTGATTAGATTAAGAAAGTTAAACAAGTTATTTAATTATAAGAAAAGTGACACATTTTTCCTAAAACATCATAATCATTTTTTTTAATATCCCATCTCCCTCTTCTATTTGATTATGGTTGAGGGAGTATCTATTGGGGTAATTTAGAGAAAATTGATAAATATGAGAAGTGAGTCTTTTATTTAGGACTAAAACCAACTCAAGAATTGGGTCTTATATTAAGAACCGAAGGAGTATTCTATAAATAATGGAATGATTGGGAGCAATTTTTATGGGGAAAAATTATCCATAAATCCTAAGAAAATTAAATGCAAATAGGTTATCCAAATTTTATTTAACACTAATAGGTCTCAAATGATTTAGTATTTACAAGTCTGACTAATTATTAAATGAAATTCAAAAGACTTATTTGTATTGATATAATTTTTTTAGTTGGGATGTATGGGTAATTTTTTTAAAAAAAAAAGTAATGAATTTAATTTGATGTTTTTTATTATTAGTTAACTAATTAACTAATTAAAAGTTAGTAAATAATTCAATGAAGATAACTTGGCAAAGTTGCAATGAATACAAATAACAAAATTAATCAACTTGCAAATAGATATTTTTAAAAATAATTTAAATTATATTGATACAATAGTAACTAGTAATATGCCAATAAAATGGAAGAAGAATGCCATTTCTTAATCAAGAAAATATATTATTTCACGACATTTCTTTATCCTTAATCCACTAATAAACTAGCCTATAGAAATATTTGGCGCGAAGAAAAATATTTAAGAAAGTGTCATTCATCAATATACCAAGAGCAATATAATATATAAAACATGTAAAAAGTAATAGTTTAGTAATGTGATTCTCCATTGCATCAAAATAATGAAACATAACAACAACAAAACACGAGAATGACAGTTCACTGTGTGTTGGTGTGCGAGTGAGGTTTGTCATGTGAATTATGTATTCTTATAAAATGTTTTCAATTTTATAAATCTGAGAATTTTTTTTTTGGGTAAGTACAGATATCCTCCTATTAAAGACAATCCTATTTGAGATACTATCACACTCTAAATGTGAGTATCTCTCTTAACAGAAATTCAACCTTTAGTTGGCCACAATAAATCGGAAAAATATATGTCCAACGATGAAATTCACAAAATTTTATTTCTAAGAACGGCTAACGACAAATACTCATTAGTCCATTTGTGGTTGTTTTGTTTAGATGGTCACTGGTACAGAGTGTTAAATATCTTTTTTAAATGTAAATCTGTGTTATGTGGATGATAAATACTCGTTGGCAAATTTGCGTTATATAAGTAGTAAATTTGAATGCCTTTTCAATATTAATTTATGAATTTGGTTTTTTATTATAATTCTCCCATATTACAAATCATTATGCATATTTATTTATATTTTCTAGGGAGAATTGCAATGAAGTCTCTGAAAAGAAAATAACTTTCAAAAAGTCCCAAATAATAAGTGAGGAGTCATCATTTCCTGTGCACCAAAAAAATGTAAGAACATGAAGGGGGAAAAACCTAGACGAGGGACATCTTCCATCATTGAATCATAATAAAAACCAAACATGATGTGTGTGTTAAGAGGACCTCCCCTGTTTCAGTAATAAAAAACAGAGTCATTTTGAGTCACTTCTCAAATCATATTCAAACTTTAATTGGGCATATAATATTCAGGAAGCTTTCGTCGAAGTTGAGCATGCATTGGTGAAACAAGAAGTGGACATGAATTGTTTTGAAGTGGGCGAACTTAATGTGCCATGACATGTCCCGAACCCAAATCACCATAACCAGATCATGGATATTGTCAACTCTGGTAAGAGCCTCGGCTACCGCCATCAAGAGGTGCACCAGTCTCAGGCCCTTGAAATCTTTCATGGCCAAGCCCACATGTGAAGGCGCAGCAATTGACTATGGGTGCAATGATTCCAGTAATTACAATCCTCGCCTGAAGAAGTCGCAGTGGTGTAGTCGGAAAAGTCGAGCTTTAGAATGGCATAAATGTTGAGGAAGGGACGATGAGGGATTTAATGGTGGGGAAGGAGAGAATGTTGCGGAATGAGTAGACGAGAGAGGAAAGCTTGGTCTTAAGCTTGGGTTGCGATGGAAGGAGGTGGATGTGGAAGGCGAAGATGTTTCAGAAGCTAACAGTGTCAGTTCTTACTTGACATTAGGGACTAACAGATACAATGGTGAAAAATTAAAGGATCCAATAAAAAGGGGAAAAAAAAAAAAACCCAAGAACTTGATTCAAAATTGGATCAATCTATAAAGATCTTCAAGTTAGTTTTCCCTATACTATTAAACAAAAAAGAAACCTTGATTTGGCCGAAATCTTTTCCTGTATATTAGTTAATTCATTGAAATAAGAAAATATCACAATGAACTTTTCTTGTATTTCTTACATGAGAAAATATTACATGAAATTTGAAGTGCATTGTACAGTCCAAGGCTCATGAATATTACAGTTTTCTATATTATATACAAGTAGGTGTATATCTATAGACTTTTGAAGCAAAAGTTTCTCAATAATTAGGATGCAAATCATTTATTTTAAGTAGTTTGAGATATTTACTATGAAGAATATAATCTTACAATATTAATTTTCTTGTAAAGTGGACAAAAAAAAACCTTTATATTGAAAAGCTTTAAATTTAGCAATAAAATTAAAGGTAATTGGATAGAAACCAAATCATAGTTTTAAAAATGATTTGACAATATACAAAATAAATATATAAACAAATTTATCTCAATTTACTAGAAAATACTTTTTAAAAGTACTAAATGTTCCAAACACCTCTAATGTAACAAATCTTAAAATTGCATTGTAAGTTTATAACTAGGAAATCTATCTTGTAACTTCCTTACGTTGTAATGTAAACTCTGTCGGGTTTATGGCCCAAAATCAGAAATAAGGTAATCAGGACTGGGAAAAAATGAGAGCAGAAATTAAACAAGGTAATAATAATATAAAACTGGCATTAATATTCTTAAAAGTGCCTTCTAACTCCCAAAAAAAGGAAAAAGGGAACCGGGGTTATAACATTATGGAAACAAAATCTTTACCGGGAAAAAACATTATGGAAAAAATAGTTGGGAATATTTTTGTTCGTTCATCTCAAAATTTACATCTTTCGAGTGTTGTGAATAATTTGAATTTCTGAATTATCATAAAATTAAAAAGATGGAAATACTTTGATATACATCTGCATTAAGTGGTTTTTCCTACTTAGAGTTGGTTCAAATAAAAATTACTGATATATTAACCAATTGATAATAACATAATGTTTTTCAAGAAAGATCTTGAATTTGAGCCCAAGGGGATGGAAAAAGATATATTGCGAGAGTTTTGTCTTTCAAGCCTGTCAAAGAAAGACAAAGGAATAATTGGCTGTAATTTTTCTTAAATATTAATTCACGCAGATATTTGAGATCCCAGATACTAAGAAGGGAATATTCAAACAGGAGAAATAAAAATTTTCAAAGGAAAAATGTTTAACAAGAGAGAACACAAACCTGCATGTTTTTGGATTTTAAGTTGACCAGCTTTAACAAAGATCTCAAGATCAACTAAGACTGAAAGACAAAAGCCCTAGAGCGAGTCAAGATGCATATTAACAGCAAACACAGCTAAAACAAGACTCATCACAAGTAATATCCAGAAAGGTTCCTCACAACATGGATGCTCTGTAAGAGGCAAGTTACACGTTGTGGAACTCAATTTGACAGTTTGCACCTTTGACAGACAAGACAAGAAAGGTCTGAAGTTTGAACATTATTATTCTTTTGAGTGATTATTATATACAACAACAACAACAATAATAAAAAATACAACTGCAAGTGCAGTCCTTGTATTCTCATTGGTTGACATTAGAATGTGGGCATCACATTGTGTGTAGGTGACACGTTTTCAATCAAATTCTAATGGTGTTCTGTCTGTAATAAGGACCACAATGACATTAAGTATTAGAGGCTGGATATGACGACATACTCCCTGGAACGATATATAAGACACAAATAACTGGAACGATATATAAGGCACAAATAACAGAATTACATAGATAAATAAAACTAGCCAAAAGGAAAAAAATGTCAAAAAAATGTATTTTATTCTCAAAAAATACTTTTATTTATGTAGAGGTGAGTGATAGAGAGAATGATAAAATAGAAAAAAATGGTAGTTAAAAGAAATATGAGAAGACACTAGTATAAAAGTTTTATACAAAAAGTTTTATACAAGAGTAATGGATGGTAATACTAATTTCATGGATTGTATGGTCCTAATCAACAAGGCTCTAGACAGGTATACCCATCCGAGTTCTCTGAACTTTACAAGCACAATCGCGTAACAAGAAACTTGTACAAATACTTGATGCTAGAGCGATGACGATGTTTTAATAGGTAAACAATAAAAGTTCAATGCCATAATACATAGACTTTTCAGCCTCCAAGTGAGCCACATTCATAATACAAATCACACGATACAGCACCAGACATCAAAACCCTTCCTTGAATGGCCTTTCAACAATTATTCATGGATTACACCAGACTAATCAGCAGAAACTAGACTCTAATAGATACATAGTCATATCACTTAGATACCCTTGTGTAAGTCTCATACACTAATTGTGCAGCAAGCATATCCACAAGAGCAGAACCTACAGACTTAAATACAGTTATTTCTTCAGAATTTGTTCTCCCAACTTTGTCTCCTGCAGCTAACTCCACCAAATTTGCCATAATATCTTCCTTCTTAATCACTCCCCTCTCAAAAGCACCCACCAATTCTCCTGCTTCCACCACTGCAGCCTCATTGTCCACAAACACTCTTCCTCTCTTAATGGCCTCATTGTCACATTCCTTCATCGAATGCTTGAATGAACCTACCAAATCCAAATGAGCTCCCACCTTCAACTTCTCACCCTTCACAAAAGCAACCTCCGAATTAGTTGCACAACTCACAATATCCCCAAGTCCAATGATCTCATCCAAATATGCACTACTCTCGAAACCTACACCTTGAAGTATGCCATCATCATTTTCTTGCATTTTCTTGGCCAATGTTCTCACCTTCTCCGCTGTCTGATTCCAGATAACTACTTTCCTCAAACTTGGTATGGCCGAATGATGGGCTCTAATCAAATGGGGTGCCATAGCTCCCGCACCCACCATCACAAGGACTTGACTATCTGGTCTAGCCAGATATTTCGAAGCCAAATCAGAGACACATGAGGTTCGATAAAGGGTCAAATCAGTGGCATCCATGGATGCCAGAGGCTGCCCTGTGGAGGAACTAAAGAGAGCATAAGTTGCCTGCATGCCTGGTAAGTTAATTGCACTGTTCTAAGGGAAATGGGTGACGAGCTTGACGCCTGTGTAAGGGAAAGAAGGAGAAGATGACCAGGAGGGCATGAAGAGGAGAGAGGAAGAAGAAGAAACCTCATAGCTTTGACGTATTGGGTACTGGATTGAGGTTGAAGTTTTGGGGAGATAAGATTGAAAGTGATTGATTAAAGTTTGATGGGTGAGTAGGGAATGTCAGGTATCAGTGGATACGAAAACTGGAGAAGAAGTGGATACGAAAACTGGCGAAGAAATTAGAACATGTGATGCCATAGATGAAAATGGAAGTGCTTGTAGGACTTTGGTTTTGAAAGATTTGTGAATGTGAATTCAAGTATCAAAGATTTGGTTGAGATGGGAGAAAACTAACGAAATTGGTAAATTCAACCCTAAAAATGAAAGATTTGGATCAAACCCAAATCTTCTATTTCGGACGGTATTTCCCAATTTGCACTACGGAATCCCAACCATCTACCAAGTCAACTCCGTTTCTGGTTCTGTCCCTCAATCCAAACTAACAAATATATATATATATATATATATATATCTTCTTAACACACAAACATAATACACACACAGATATGTATTTGACTAGTGAATCACTCGGAGTCAACATTGTAAGGATCACAAAACAAATTGCAAATATGTAGATTGAGACTGAACCAAATTGAGATTTCAGATTGAAGAAGAGTTGAAAGGATGTGAATCCATAAACAGATTAAAAAAAAAAAAAAAAAACATGCGTAAAGCCCATTTGAGCAATAAAGTTGACATGAACGAGAAGCCTGCAAATATCTATGTACTACATATGATCCAGATGTTTCTTGTCCAAGTATTATCGAATCTACCTAAATATTACTTTAGCTTAATGATTCAACACTTTCAATTCTTTCATATTTTAAAGGATCTTGATTTTGTGTGTGTGTGTGTATCAATCTTGTCTCAGTATTTGCAAATGAGCTGATATATGTTCATCTTGGGATTTAGCAATGAGCTTATTATTAATCATGGATCCAAGGGAGACACCTGGGATCAACAAGTTTGTAAAACTCAAGAAGCACTCACTCCCCAAGTGAACTCGTGGATACTTGACATAATGACTTCCAATAATAGACCAACTTACTGGGAATTGATAATTGAAAGAAAAAGTTAGGTGACATGTGTAGTAATAATATCAGTGTTAGTTCTGGATGAAGCAGAATGGAATTTTCTATAGCTACAGCTCAATATTTTTCAATAAACAGGGACCATGTATAAGAGAAAGCATACTAGGAAAATGGGGTTGGACAGATTACAAGTAATCTGCTAGGATCACAAAACGAATTGCAAAAACTTTGGTTACTTGACAAATGGATTCTACTCTAATACCTGAGGGCAAAAATCAAAGGCCGAAAGATTGACTTTCAATAGGGTATAATTAACCACACAAATCACTTCAGAATGAATGACGATTAATTTAGAATTACCCATTGGTGAATGTTTAGCTATCAACCGAGGACGAAGATAAGAGTGGGCTGAAGAAGATCTGAAGAAGATTCTAAGTTCCTAACACCTAGAAGGGAGGGTTGACATTTATGGACCCCACAACCACAAGCATGTCCGATTCATTATAAGTGCTCAGCTAATAAACACAAGGATCGGAATATCATATGGAACAGTACAAAGTAAACAAATGACCAGTTGTGGCCATGAAAGAGTACACTATTAGAGAAAACCCCACAAATCCACATTTGATAAAGCTCGCATGCCCAATTAATTAGCCTCGCTTTTACGCTTTACATCAAGGGGTCATTTCTCCTATCGTTTTTGACATTACTCAACAAGAATGAAATGGAAGACGAACAAATATATTAACAATATACAAATACAATCCAAAACCAAGAGGGAGACGAACCTGCTAGGAAGTCGGACAAAGCACTGAGGCAAGGAAGGGAGACGAACCCAGAGGAGACGGAGATGGACGACACCGGACGACGAGGCTAGACTTGACGGAGAAGAAGCCAGACGAGATGCGAAGGGGAGGGCAAAGATGGAGCCGGCAGCTTGCGGAAGGGCTCGGATTCTCCCAGCGGCTGGTTTCTCCGTGTTTCTCAGAAGCCTTGAATCCTACCCGTCCAATCCTTCCAAGCAGCCATAAGGAGACACGTCACAAGGCTTTTAAAATGGTATCTAAATCGTCCGTCTGGTTAATCCTGACCATCCATTCAATTTCATGTCCGGCCAAATCTGGATCACCTTCGCGAATGCACTCTGCCGTCAGGGTTTCGGCCCATCTGTGACGCAAATAAGGAGCTCCGTCATCACCCATGGTCTGGCATCTACGTTACAGATTACACCTCTTTCTTATCTTCACCCTTCTGCTCTATCACTCTCTCCCTCATTATTTGACTGTTGGATGCTTAATTCACTCAATCGAATTTTTTCCCATTCTCGGTGCTTCTTCATCGACTACTAACTTTCATCCATTCTCAAAATCGGTTCTCTGACTTGAATTTTCACTTTGCTTAATTGTGACCTATATCAATAAGCCTTTACGGATTCAAATCAATCAATGCAAAGGCTTTCTTATTATTCGCCACTGTCCCCCTGTTTTCTTCATTGTTTATTCTTTCTTGGTTCATCAGCTACCGGGGCTTTCTTGCTACATCAGTCGAATTTTAATGTGACGACAATTTATGCTGGAACTGTAACGCATCATATGTATATGTATATGTATATCGGAGCTAGACAATAAAATTTTGTATTCCCTCTCGCTTACACAGTCGAGAAGCAGATCTCTTGTTATGAGCTGTTAAACAAAAAAGAATGGGAACTTCTTTACTGCTATTAACAACTTAGGCATGCTAAAACTACAATGAAGTCTTTATCTTTTTTCCATCTCCCATTCTCCCTTGGAAAAGCATCGACTGATGTTTATATCCCTTGTTGGCTTTGTCATCTTCATATTTCTTAATGATACATGCCGTTATATATTTGCTGTTATTATTTCATTTGTCATTATCTTTGGGAATGGGTATTCTGGTAAGTCCCGAGAAGTTAGTTATAGGGGAGAGAATTGGGCTATGACGTGTAAGGGAAAGGGGGTATCTACTGTACCTCTGCCATTTTCATGTGTTGGCGTTGAATATACTCTGCGAATTCTCTCCTATTACTATCAAAGTATCAGAGCCCAATTTCTGGTCCATGGCTCTGAAGACTCGGTCCTCTGGGCATTTAGGCGAACTGGAACATCAGGTCGGGCTGCATCAAGCTTCCATCGAATTTGTTAACCAATCCATTGCTACCTTGACTCATTGGCTAGATCAACACGGCCAAGCCATCGCCTCCTTGCAGGCGACGTCAAACAAATTTGATGATTACTTTAAAGAACTCATTGATAAGGTTTCGGCTCTTTCCACCGAGCAGAGTCGTCGTCCACCGGTTGGGTATCCTGAAGGGGGATCATCGTCTATTTCACTACCCCGTATGCTGACTTTTGGTTCTTTTCTGACAATGCACAGCAACCATCCTCATACCACATTCCTACCAAACAAACTTGAGTGAAGTTCCCTCGTTTTGATGGCTCTGATTTTCGCGGCTGGTCTTATCAGTGTAAGTAGTTCTTTGAAGTCGATGGAACATCACTAGAGCAACGCATTCGATTACTCAGCATCCACCTGGAGGGTCACGCTCTGAGATGGCACTAGACTTTCATGCACCATCGCTCCTTTTTCGACTTGACTTGGACAGAATATTTTCACCATATGGAGCAGAGATTTGCTGATGTCCGTGAAGAGAGCCCCACTATCGCTCTCAAGATGCTTCAACAAGCATCGGGCTCTCATTGATTATGAAACGAAGTTCAACGAGCTCCTTTCTAAGGTCCACATTCCAGAGGAAGTTGCGATTAGCTTATTCATCGAGGGATTGCGTACCGATATTCAGAAATTTGTTCTCAATTTTAACCCATCCTCTCTGTCGCATGCGATACGTTATGCCCAAATGCAGGAAGCTACCATCACGGCGTTACATGACTATGCCCCTGCAAATGCGTTCGGTCGCCAGTTAAGTTCTTTCCCTTCCTGTCTGGTGTTCGACTCCAACGGGTCAAGGTCCCCTGTTTTAGTGGGCTCGCACTCAGGCCCACTAGGTTCTGTCTCTGGCCCAGCAAACCACAAGGTGCACGAATCCACTTCGTTGTAGAAGCCATCTTCACTCTCGGCTTCAGCATCTTCCCCAGTTCAGTCGATAGCATTGAAACCTTCACGTCAGCTCTCTAAAAAGGAGATGGACTATCGCTGACGCAAGGGGCTCTGTTACTAGTGTTCAAAAAAATATACACCCACCCATTGTTGCAAGGATTCTCACCTCTTTATGCTAGTGATTGACGATGATAAAGACCAATTTGAGGATGCTTTGGATGTTGTGCCGCCAGAGGAAGGGACTCTTAATGCTATTGAGGGCCACAAAGCAACGTCCACCTTGAAGTTAGTAGGCCGAATAAAAACCAGATGGTGATCATTTTAATTAACACGGGTAGCACGCATAATGTATTGGATGCCTCTATAGCTCAACGTCTCCAGTTGAAAGTTCAAGAGCGCTCCCCTATACAGCTTACTGTGGCTGATACGTGACGAGTATTAGTATCTAAACATTGTCCTAATCTTTCATGGGGCATGGGGAATGCTGTCTCCTCAGCTAATTTCTTGGTCATGAAAGTGGGGGGCTATGATATGATACTGGGCACTCAGTGGTTGCGTACAATTGGTAATTTTCTATGGATATGGAATTTAAAACATTTGAGTTCATGTTCAACGGTACGAAAATCAAGCTGTGGTATTGGGCATAAAGAGTTGGGTCGGATGGAGGAAATTTCATCTTCCCGGGATGTGTTGATTGTTGCTCATGCTTTCCTTATCTAGACTACTTCTAACTTACATGTTGGTCTGTCTCATTCTCCTCTGAGTCATGCTCAACAGCATGCATTGAATTCGGTTTTGGAAGCCTTTCAAGATGTTTTTGCACAACCCAAAAGCTTACCAGCTTCTCGCAAGTTTGATCACTTTATCTCTCTTCATGTTGATAGACCCATCACTTGCAGACCTTATAGATATGGTCCAGCTCAGAAAAACAAAATTGAGAAACAGGTACAGGATATGATGTCTAACGGTATCATCAAAGAGAGCTCCAGCTCCTTTGCAGCTTTAGTTGTACTTGTCTAGAAAAAGGAGAGAACCTAGAGGTTTTGTGTTGACTATAGAAGGCTGAATGAAGCAACCATTAAGAATAAGTTCCCTATTCCAGTCATTGAAGAATTATTAGATGAATTGGTTGCTACCACCTTCTTTTCTAAAATTGACTTACGAGCCAAATATTACCAAATTCGTATGAAGGAGGATGATTTTCCAAAGACAGCTTTTAGAACACATGAGGGCCTCTATGAATTTTTAGTCATGCCATTTGGCTTGACTAATATGCCAGCTACCTTCCAGGCACTTATGAATTCAGTTTTTAAAGCCTATTTGAGGAAATTTATCTTGGTATTTTTTGATGATATTCTTATATATAGTAAACATTGGCAAACTTACTTACAGCACTTAGAAACCACATTGTCTACTTTAAGGCAGCATTGTCTCTTTGCTAAAGCATCTAAGTGTATTTTTGCTACTACTCAAGTTGATTATCTTGGCCACATTATTTCGGCTCGGGGAGTGCAAGCTGACCCAAAGAAGCAAGAAGCAATTTCTTCCTGGCCCACTCCTGTTTCTATTCATGAATTAAGAGGGTTCCTTGGCCTCACCAGGTACTATAGAAGGTTTATTAAACATTACGGGACTATTAGTAGACCCTTGACTGATTTGTTACGAAAAGATGTTCCATTCTCTTGGACTACAACTACAAATGAAGCATTCCTTTTACTGAAACAATTCATGTTGTCTCCTCTAGTCCTTGCATTACCTAATTTAATGATACCTTTGTAGTTGAGACTGATGCCTCTGGCATGGGGTTAGGAGCAGTGTTATCTCATAATGGGCATCCTATTACATTTGCTACTAAGACTTTGCCCTCTAGAAAGAGACCACTTTCAGCATATGAGAGGGAGTTGCTTGCAATTATATTTGTTGTCAAATAGTGGCGATCCTATTTATGTGGGAAGAAGTTTATCATCAAAACAGATCACCTACCCTTAAAGCACTTACTTGAACAGCGTGACTTGAGCCAAGACCAATTTAAATGGTTGCACAAACTATAGGGATTGCACTATGAAATTGTCCATCAGAAGGGAAGTGATAACACCATAGCGGATGCTCTCTCTCGTCGAGCTGCAAGCTCTTGTATGGCTTTAACATCCCCTGTTTCTCCTGTTTATGATAAAGTGAGGGACTCATGGTTGGTTGATGATCAGTTGTAGCAGCTAGTTAAGGAGTTAGAAACTGATCCTCTCTCTCATTCTAAATACTCTTGACAGAATCATCTACTTAAAAGGAACGGGAAACTTGTTGTGGGTGCGGATCGTGGCCTTAGAGGTGAGCTACTTAATCATTTTCATGTTGATGGAATTAGAGGTCATTCTGGTATGCATTCTACTTTTAAATGCCTATCTTCCTTCTTCTATTGGAAAGGCATGGAAAAGGATGTTAGAAATTTTGTAAGGAAATGTACTGTTTGCAAGAGGTTTAAACCATAATTAGTGGCTCCTCCAGGATTTATTCAGCCTTTACCTATTCCTGAACATGTGTGGACTGAGTTATCTATGGATTTTATTAGTGGTCTTCCTAAATCTCATTCTAAAACTACTATATTAGTGGTGGTTGATAGACTATCTAAAGCTGCTCATTTTATGTTTTAAAGCGCCCTTATACAGCAATAGAAGAAGCTCAAGTCTTCCTTGATAATATGGTTAAGTTGCATGGATTTCCTAAGTCTATTTTGACTGATCGAGATCCAATATTTTATGGCAAGTTTTGGAAGGAATTATTCAGACTTTATGGGGTCAATTTACATTATTCCCTAGCTTATCATCCTCAAATGGATGGTCAAACAGAGGTCCTGAATCGATGCTTGGAGTGTTACCTCCGCTGTATGACTGGGGATTTTCCTAAACAATGCATTAAGTGGCTGCCTCTAGCTAAGCTTTAGTATAACACTACTTATCATTCAGCCATTGGAATGTCTCCTTTTGAAGCTGTGTATGGTACTCCTTCTCCAGTGCACTTGCCTTACATAGCAGGAGATTCTCCTAATGATTTGGTTGATCAATCTTGCCTTGCTCGAGAGCTGGTATTACAGATGTTGAAGCAGCATCTAGTCAAGGTTTAGAACAGGATGGTGCAGTAAGCAAATAAACATCAGATTGACCGTGCATTTGAGGTTGGTACCTTGGTTTACCTCAAGCTGCATCCTTTTCGAAAGAATTTGACTAATAACTCTTAAT